GATGTTAGTTGTAAAATGAGTTCTTGTTTTAACTGGAAGGAACACACTCTTTTATGTAAGCTTGAACTCTAACCCATCAGAATTTTGTCTTCCAGTCCAAATACTCCATTAAGAATTGTTCATTCTGGTGTAGCATGGATGCATAGTAGTCATTCTTTCAGGCTCTTGACCACATCCTAGTTTTCCCCCCTGACTTCTTTCTGCATTTGAGAACAGGGTGCCAAAGTTTCTAGGCACTATCCGTATGATATTTTAAAGCCTTTTTATCCTAGTTTCCAAACTCAAAATTCTCTCTGTTTTTGAACAACTTTATTAATCTCCCCCTTCCTTTTTCCTTTAGTGTGTGGCACATGCATGATCCTAATTTTCTCCATCACAAACTGTATTTGGTGCTTTTTTGCATGTCAGGAGTGACTTGAGAAACTGCAAGTTACTGCTGGTGTGAGAGCATTGGCTGTCTGCAAGGACGTTGCCCAGGGGATGCCCAAATGTTTGATGTTTTACCATCCTTGTGGGAGGCTTCTCTCATGCCCCTGCATGAGGAACTGGAGCTGACAGAGGAAGCTCAACCCGCTCTCCATGGATTTGAACTGCTAACTTATCTGTCAGCAGTCCTGCCAGCACAAGGGTTTAAGCGAGGAGTCCTCAAACTTTTAAACAGAGGGCCAGGTCACAGTCCCTCAAACTGTTGGAGGGCCGGATTATAATTTGAAAAAAAAATGAATGAATTCCTATGCACACTGCACATATCTTATTTGTAGTGCAAAAAACACTTAAAAACAATAATTAAAATGAATAATAATAATAATAATAATAATAATATAACACTTTATTTATACCCCGCTACCATCTACCCAGGGGACTTGGTGTGGCTTACATGAGGCCGAGCCCAGAATACAACAATACAAGCAAGAACAACAATACAAGCAATTTAAAAACAACCAAGACAATAAAACAATAACATAAGCATTAACAATAGGACAACACACTTTAAAAACTATGGGTAGGCCAAATGTAATTAAAATTAAAAATAATGCTGGACATGGGCGAAAAAGTGATGGGGCGGTTTGTGGAAACATACAAGCAGACCTAAACAATATAAAGTGCTTTGGAGGACAAAGTGCTATGGGATCATTATTCTGGGAAGGCACACTGGAACAACCACGTCTTCAAGCTCCTCCTAAAGACTGCCAGAGTTGGGGCATGCCTGATGTCCTTAGGAAGTAGGTTCCAGAGTCGAGGGGCCACCACTGAAAAGGCCTTCTCTCTTGTCCCCACCAATCGCGCTTGCGACAGGTGGGAGCGCGAGCAGGACCTCTCCAGCTGATTGAAGAGATCGCGTGGGTTCGTATACAGAGATGCGGTCGCGCAGGTAGGCGGGTCCCAAACCATTCAGGGCTTTGTAGGTGAGAACCTGCACCTTGAATTGGGACCGGAAAATGAATGGCAGCCAATGGAGCTCCTTGAACAGGAGGGTTGACCGCTCCCTGTAAGGAGCCCCGGTTAACAACCTGGCTGCCACCCATTGGACCATCTAGAATTTCCGAGCCGTTTTCAAGGGCAGCCCCACGTAGAGTGCATTACAGTAATCCAGTGACTAATCCAGTGACCACCCTGGCCAGATCCGCCTTCACGAGGTACTGTCGCAGTTGGCGCACAAGTCTTAATTGTGCAAAGGCCCTCCCGGCCACTGCCGATGCCTGAGCCTCAAGAACAATTTTAACAAATATAAACTTATTAATATTTCAGTGGAAAGTGTGGGCCTGCTTTTGGCTGATGAGATAGGACTGTTGTTATTGTTGTTGTGTGCTTTCAAGTCGCTTCAGACTTAAGTGGACCCTGAGCGAGGGCTGGGTAAATGACCTTGGAGGGCCGTATCTGGCACACGGGCCTTAGTTTGAGGACATCTGGTTTAAGCAATTGCACTTCTGAGGGCTCCATTATTTGGTGCTTATTGACTTGAAGTAGCATTAAGAACCTTTTAATTTAGGAGAACAATCCCATTTGCAATGTTAAGGAAGGAATGCACTCTGTACAAGCTCAGGGACATGTCCTTCTTTGCAGCGATGCTTTTGTGGTTGTCTGGCATCCCAAAGGGTTCTGTCTATCCAGTAGTCCTTGAATCTGAGTTGCGTTATGATCCACACCCCGCTTATCCCCTCCCAGAGCAAGGAACCCGGCAATGTCAGCCACTGCCGCACTGCCTGCCTTCCCCCCTCTCTTCCCCCTCCCTTCAGACGAGCTGCAGCGCCAGCATGTAACGCTCCTGGGATTGGTTGTGTCTGGCTCAATCCCACATCTTATTTTTCTGGCCTGAAAATGTCAAATCGCATCTCGCAGCAGTGCCATCCCACCCTTGCAAGAGAGCATGCTGGAGGCGGCTTCCAAAGCTTCCAGGCCTTTGGCCATATGGATTTGGGCTTCTTCTTCCTCGCTCGGCTTCTCGGCTCCCTCTGCGGCTCTCACCGTCTCCCACCCCCGCCGGCCTGAGTGTTTCTGATGATGGGTTTCTTAAGGAAAGGTATTCTGGTTGCAAAATCCGTCTGGCCGAAATGTAACTCGCCAGAAAGCATCCCTCCAGGACAGAGTCCCGGCGCGTTTCACTTTCAAATAACTCCATTAAAATTGTCGAGCGGCATTCCCAACAGGCTGACTGGTACTTCTGTTGGGAGTTGCCTTTGATCAGCGACTTTTTCATAGTCTGCGGGGGAAACTCTTCCCCCCACCTTCTCCTTTCCCAGTATAGAAACCCCAGTTTCAATGCATAGAATACCTTTGAATTACAGATAGAAACCATTTTATCATTCAGTCCTCTTTGTGCCATGTCTTCGTAGTGTTCCTTCCTTCCACTGCGGAGAATCTGGAGAATTTTCCAGCTGTTGTAATTGCTTTTAAGATCCAAACTGTTGTAATTGCTTTAAATCACCTTAAAATAATCAAGTGGTAAGGTGGAGTAAATGGATTTGGTATGCAGACTTTGTCCCTAACCTTCCTTGGCTTAGGTGCACGAAGCAACAGGACAGGTACTCATGCCAGCCTTCTTCATGTGACAAGTGTGCATGTGTGAATGTAGGTGCATCTACACTGTAGAATTAATGCGGTTCGGCACGACTTGAACTGCCATGGCTCAATGCTGTGGAATGATGGGAGTTGTAGTTTTACAAGGTCTTTCCCCATGCCATTCTTCTTCATGTGACAAGTGAGCATGTGTGAATGTAGGTGCATCTACACTGTAGAATTAATGTGATTCGGCACGACTTGAACTGCCATGGCTTAATGCTGTGGAATGATGGGAGTTGTAATTTTACAAGGTCTTTATCCATGCCAGTCTTCTACATGTGACAAGTGAGCATTTCTGAATGTAGATGCATCTACACTGTAGAATTAATGTGGTTCGGCACGACTTGAACTGCCATGTCTCAATGCTGTGGAATGATGAGAGTTGTAGTTTTACAAGATCTTTCCCCATGCCAGAATTCTTCATCTGACAAGTGAGCAGTGTAGGTGTATCTACACTGTAGAATTAATGCAGTTCAGCACCCCTTATTTATTTATTTACAGTATTTATATACCACCTGTGATTCATCATGACTTGAACTGCCATGACTCAATGCTGTGGAATGATGGCAGTTGTAGTTTTACAAGATCTTTCCCCATGCCAGTCTTCTTCATGTGAGAAGTGAGCAGTGTAGGTGCATCTGCACTGTAGAATTAATGTGGTTCAGCACGACTTGAACTGCCGTGGCTCCATGCTATGGAATGATGGCAGTTGTAGTTTTACAAGGTCTTTAGCCTTCTCTACCAAAGAGTGCCAGTGCTTGATTACAACTACAGCTTCCAGGACTCCATAGCAAAAGTTGGCGGTTCGAATCCAGGGAGCGGGGTGAGCTCCCGCTTTTAGCCCCAGCTTCTGCCAACCTAGCAGTTCGAAAACATACAAGTGTGAGTAGATCAATAGGTCCCGCTTCTGCGGGAAGGTAACGGTGCTCCATGCAGTCATGACTAGACTTAATGTCGGGGTAAAAATTCAAGTGTGAGTAGATCAATAGGTACCGCTTCTGCGGGAAGGTAATGATGCTCCATGAAGTCATGCTGGCCACATGACCCTGGAGATGTCTATGGACAATGCCGGCTCGTCAGCTTAGAAATGGAGATGAGCACCACCACCCCAGAGTTGGACATGACTAGACTTCATGTCAGGGCAAAAATTCAAGTGTGAGTAGATCAATAGGTACTTCTTCTGTGGGAAGGTAACAGTGCTCCATGCAGTCATGCTGGCCACATGACCTTGGAGGCATCTACGGACAACGCCAGCTCGTCGGCTTAGAAATGGAGATGAGCACCACCACCTCAGATTCAGACATGACTAGACTTAATGTCAGGGCAAAAATTCAAGTGTGAGTAGATCAATAGGTACTGCTTCTGCGGGAAGGTAACGGTGCTCCATGCAGTCATGTTGGCCACATGATCTTGGAGGCATCTGTGGACAACACCAGCTCCTTGGCTTAGAAATGGAGATGAGCACCACCCTCCAGAGTTGGACACAACTAGACTTAATGTCAGGGGAAACCTTACCTTTACTTTTACCTTATCTTCGTATTATCTCATGTTTAGTGTTTTGGTTGAGTCATTTAACACAAATGTAGAGTGATCAAGCGTTGCGTTCTTGACGTAGGTGATATTAGGGTTGCTATGCTGAAAACTGAAGACGGCTCCTGTACTTGGTAGCATGACAAGCAACACTTACTGAAATTCCCTCATCTACACATCCATTAAAGGTTCGGGAGCCCTCTTCAGTTTCCACTCAAGCATCCTACCAAATGACAGTACGTGCATGTTTCTGCCAGGCCATTTCATTCAAGTGACTTCCTTGCACCGATTACAGGCAGACTCCAACTCTCGTCACCTCTTCAGCGTACATGTTTGGCCCTGAGATGTCATCTTTGACTTAATTTCTCCCTCTTCTTCTCTCCCTCCCTCCTTCCTCTCTGTTTTTGCAGCCATTGAAACACAGAGTACCAGCTCTGAAGAAATCGTGCCCAGCCCTCCTTCGCCACCCCCACTGCCCCGAATCTACAAACCCTGCTTCGTGTGCCAGGATAAATCATCCGGCTACCACTATGGTGTCAGCGCCTGTGAAGGATGCAAGGTGAGAGTGGGAAAAGGCAGCAAGGACCGAGGGAGGCCCACACTGCAGGAAAGGAGGGAGAAGCATAAATAAGGATCTGTCGAGTGCACACATTCCCTGCTGGCGACCCATTTTTACTTTCTCAGGCTGATCCAAGACAATGAGTAAAGAGGCACATTAATATATGGAACTCTGGGGAAGGGATTAGGATTTTAAAAAGGGGACAGCGGTCTTACACTTCTTTCTGGCACCAAATTTGGCAATTTTTTTTTTCTTGCAAGAGGGTCCTATTATTCTGGGTACCACTGATCCACGAATATCTTATATACTTGAGTATAAACCAAGTTTTTCAGCCCTTTTTTAAGGCTGACCCCCCCCCCCCCCCCCGGCTTATACTCGAGTCAAAGTTATTATGGGGGGGCAGGTTTGGGGACTATGTATGGGGGATATGATATGTTACATTTCTATTAGGTTAGCGCGAGAGGTTAGTATGACAGCTTGGGGGAGCGGGTGTATCTATTATACAGTATATTATTGGACTCGATTTTTATTATTAGTTTATGATTTTACTTTTGTCATTATTAACATTTTTAGTTTCTCTATGTATTTATAGATCAGCGGGCGGACTGACGACTTCTGGCAAGGTTACGTTTTAATACGCGATGGACTGTCGGGGTACGACGAGAATTCGGCAATTGTAGGAATCTTCGTTAGGGGGGGGAACTGGGGAGGAGATTAATAGAATTAGGTCGGGGCTGATGGGGCACTAGGCGGGCAGGGGGTAGCCCCCTGATCCCGGTGGGGGAAGAGAACGATATATGCCGCTAGATAATAAATATTATTATTTGAAATGAGGATCCACACAGACGACACCTGGGCTGGGAAGGGGCACACTCGTCCGGGGAGTGATTATGATTATGATTATATATTATATAGTATTAGACGGAGGAGTTGTACGCTAGTTGATGAGATTATATTGGTTATTATCATTATTACATTTTTATTTTTCTCTATGTATTATGGGATCAGGCCTTTGCGGACTGGACTGACTTGCTGGCAAAGTTACGGTTTTAATGAACCATGATGGACTGCTTTTAGGATTACGACTGAATTCGGCATTGTATTTAATGCTTTTATATTGTTTTTAAACTGTTTTTATTATATTATATATATTTATGCTTTTCTTATTGTGGGCACTATTCTGTGCCAGTTGTTAGCCGCCCTGAGTCCCTCTGTGGAGGTAAGATAGGACAGGATATAAATGCCCTAAATAAATAAATATTATTATTTGAAAGATGAGTCCACAGCAGACACACCGCTGGCTGTTGAATTGGATCACACATCGGACACTTTTATTATTATTATTATTATTATTATTATTATTATTATTATTACATTTATTATTTTACTCTATTTTTATTATATTTATTATTTTACTTTATTATTATTATATTTTTATTTTACTCTATTTATTACTGTTATTATTACATTTATTATTTTACTCTATTATTACTGTTATTATTACATTTCCATTATTTTACTCTATTATTATTTCTATTACATTTATTATTTTACTCCCTTTATTATTATTGGAAGGATACGTAAGCACATTTACATTTAAGAAAGTTAGAATAAAAGTTTAATCAGAGTCTTATCTTAAAGTACAGTTTTCTGTAAATACTCAAAAACATGTGATCTATGTAATGTAATTTTATTGGTATCTATTTTTATTTTGAAACTAGCCGTCCCCTGCCACGCGTTGCTGTGGCCCACATGGGGGTTCTCTGTGGGAGGTTTGGCCCAATTCTATCATTGGTGGGGTTCAGAATACTCTGTGATTGTAGGTGAACTATAAATCCCAGCAACTACAACTCCCAAATGTCAAGATTCTATTTTCCCCAAACTCCACCAGTGTTCATATTTGGGCATATTGAGTATTCATGCCAAGTTTGGTCCAGATCCATCAGGGTTTGAATCCACAGTGATCTCTGGATGTAGGTGAACTACAACTCCAAAACCAAAGGACACTGCCCACCAAACCCTTCCAGCATTTTCTGTTGGTCATGGGAGTTCTGTGTGCCAAGTTTGGTTCAGTTCCATAGTTGGCGGGTTTCGGAATGCTCTTTTATTGTAGATGAACTATAAATCCCAGCAACTACAACTCCCAAATGACAAAATCAATATTTTTTGAGTGAAGGACATACATTGGGTTGTTAGGTGTATTGTGTCCAAATTTGGTGTCAATTCGTCCAGTGGTTTTTGAGTTTTGTTAATCCCACAAACAAACATTATATTTTATTTATATAGATTTACCAATAGCTGCTGCATTTGTTATCATTGGCTTATACTCGAGTCAATATGTTTTCCCAATTTCTTTTGTGGTAAAATTAGATGCCTCAGCTTATATTTGGGTCGGCTTATACTCAAGTATATACGATACCTTTTGCTCTCTCTCATTGCCTCTGGATTGGGTCTGGTGCTATTGCAAAATAATCAGTTGGGGGCATTCACTTTGAATAAGAGATTGGGGAGGACACACAAGGGTCTCCCAGGCTTTGGATCCTTATACAATTTTAGGAAGTAATTCTATTCCTTGCCTCACCCTCCTTCCGGCTGGTTTTTAAAAAGACGTTTGCAGCCGTGAGCTTTCACAGCGTTTTGTTGTTTTGGTTTTTGGCTACTGCCTCCTTCTGTGATCTTTATTTTTTAAAGATGGGGCCGGGGCACAAGATTGTGTGTTAATAGCTAAGCTTGCTGTGGGACCTGGGAATTGTTGTGTTTGCAAGCTTTGGGCTTATATGCACAAGTGTATTTTTTTCTCTCTCTCCATGCAGTCACATATGCTTTCTCTTTTTCTCTGATCTTGTACTCCTCCCCCCTTCCCTTCCCTCCCTTTAAAAGCCATTTATTCCTTTTTTTTCCTGCATCTAAACAGCATGAACTGCTGTAGCTGCACCTATCCGCCCACATGCCCCCCACTAGGTTGGCAACCTGACCTTGTGGGTCAAATTGGCACAGCTCAACCTGGGCAAGCGGCCTCGGTCCCCACCAGCATTCCCTCTGGCTCATTAACACCAAGCCCTTTGTGCTTCTAGTTGCCGAGAAAAAAGGCCTTTCTGCTTCCCAGCCAGGAGTCCCTTAATCTTGTTAGTGGGACGTGGCAGTGTTGTCCTCAGGACCTTGTCCTGAGCAGTCTGGCTGCCCCTGAACCATTGGATCTCTCCGCCTCTTAATTGTATTCCATAGAAAGGTTATTTGCAGCTTGGAAATTACATAGGATTCCCCGGTGGTGCAATGTGCCGGCAGGACAGAAGACCAACAGGTCGGAAGTTTGAATCTAGGGAGAGCGCAGATGAGCTCCTTCTGTCAGTTTCAGCTCCCCATTCGGGGACATGAGAGAAGCCTCCCATAAGGATGGTAAAACATCAAACACCCAGGTGTCCCTTGGGCAACGTCCTTGCAGATGGCCAATTCTTTTGCACCATAAGTTACTTGCAATTTTTCAAGTCGCTCCTCACACACACACACACACAAACCTTGGAAATTTCACTTTGGGGATTCTAATTCCCATTCTTCCTCTCCAGACGATAACGCAGACTGAGTTTCCTTGGAATCTAAATCAGGGCCTCTTAAACTTTTTTCACTAGTGACCCCTTTCTATCCGAGACTTTTGTAAGTGACCTTGGGTATATAGGCATAAAAATATGTACAAAAAAAAATCAAACATCTTCCGACAGTAAATCAGTATTTGCAAGGTTAATTTCCTTTTTGTGAACTATAACTTATATTTTTATTTATTTCTTTAAATATAAATATTATTTATATTTATATTTACATTTATTTATATTTATTATTTAAATACAACTTATTTATTTATTTACTTCACTCATATACCGTTTTTCTCACCCCAGGGGGGCGGGAAGACACAAAGTGGTCTCCAATATATTTATGGCAAAATTTAATGCCTGACATGCATGTGAAACCTAACATAAAGAAACAATAACATTTAACCATCAAATTAGATCATAAAAAGTAACAACATGTGGACATTAAATTGTGGAGTTAAAACACATTATTAATAATACTATTATTAATTATATTAATAATAACTCAAGCATCTTCAGCAAAGTTCACTGTAAACACTGCAGGTTCTTGCTAGCAGATGCATGTGAGTGTCTAGGGCAGTGGTTCTCAACCATCCTAATGCCATGTGCCCTTAATACAGTTCCTCGTGTTGTGGTGACCCCCAACCATAAAACTATTTTCATTGTTACTTCATAACTGTACTTTTGATACCGTTGTGAATCGTAATGTAAATATCTGATATGTAGGATGTTTTTTCATTCACTGGACCAAATTTGGCACAATACCTGATGTGCCCAAATTTGAATACTGTGGGGTTGGGAGGGAGGATTGATTTTGTCATTTGGGAGTTGTAGTTGCTGGGATTTATAGTTAACCCACAATCAAAGAGCATTCAGAACTCCACCAACAATGGAATTGAACTAAACTTGGCACACAGAACTTCCATGACCAACAGAAAATACTGGAAGGATTTGGTGGGCATTGACCTTGGGTTTTGGAGTTGTAGTTCATCAACATCCAGAGAGTACTGTGGACTCAGACAAAGATGGATCCGGACCAAACTTGGCACGAATACTCAATATGCACATCACATTTGACATTTGGGAGTTGTAGTTACTGGGATTTATAGTTCACTTACAATGAGAGAGAATTCTGAACCCCACCAATGATAGAATTGGGCTAAACTTCCCACACAGAACCCCCATGTCTTGAATGGACATGATAGATCTGGACCAAACTTGCCACAAATACTCAATATGCCCAAATGTGAACACTGGTGGAGTTTGGGGGAAATTGACCTTGACATTTGAGAGTAGTAGTTGCTGGGATTTATAGTTCAACTAAAATCAAAGAGTATTCTGAACCCCACCAATGATAGAATTGGGCCAAACTTCCCACATAGAACCCCCATGACCAACAGAAAATACTGTGTTTTC